GGGGGATGGAGGGGCGCCACCAGGACGAGGAATGCGGGAGGGAGGTTGGAGGGTCGGAGGGGGACACGGGAGGGGACTGGGGTGGGGCGGGACGAGGAGGCGCGGCCAGGGGGGCGCGCTGCACTTCTCCTTGAACTGGTCGCAAGTCAGCACGGCCTGCATGCCCGCCGGGGGTTCTCCCAGCCCTCCGCGCCGCCCTGCCCCACGGGTCCCCCCTGGACCGCATCCTGGCCGCTGCTTGGACTTCAGGCCCCGGCCTGGCTGCCCCTGCCCCATTTCCAGGGAGACCTGACCTGGGATGTTGGGAGTCGCGCCCTGCACTTGCACTGGCGAGGGGCCCTGGGACGCGCCCCTGTGTGGAGCCACGGGTCCTCCTCCCCCGCAGCGTCCCCCTTGCTCGGGCTTTGTCCGGAAACACGAGCTCCAGCTCCGCGACCCTGCGCGTCAGAATGCGTGTCCGCGCCCTGGGCTCCCTGCTCCCCTGGGCCTAAGAGGGTCGCGGTCAGATAGTTGGGGGCAGGCTGGGAGAGGGCAGGGGGGCCAGGACAGTGGGAGCCTCAGGTGCTCTGGGCAGGAATGAGGGTCTGGAGGTGCAGGCTGAGGTGTCCCCTCTTTGCAGGAACTCCACAGATGGGCTTGGTGCTGGGCCCTGAGGCCACCGTGATGGCCTTATAGCAGAGCCTTGGAAAGGGTGGGGGGGGGTTCTCTGGCAGAGCTGTGGTGGGGATTCCTGCTCCCCACCGTGGAGCAGCAGACGCCCAGGACCAGGGTCCTCATTTAGGTGGGGTGCAGGCAGGGCTGAGCAGCGGTCCCTGGGCTCTGGGACAGTGGGGAGGTGTAGCTCCAGCTTAAGAAGAGCAGTTTTGGGTGCCTGGGTGGCTCAGTTGGTTGGGCGACTGCCTTCGGCTCAGGTCATGATCCTGGAGTCCTGGGATCGAGTCCCGCATCGGGCTCCCAGCTCAGCGGGGAGTCTGCTTCTCCCTCTGACCCTCCCCCCTCTCATGTGCTCTCTCTATCTCATTCTCTCTCTCAAATAGATAAATAAAATATTTAAAAAAAAGAGCAGTTTTGCAAATCTCTGATTTAGCCCCACCCCCCACCCCCAAGAGGAGAGACGTCCCAGAGCTTCTTGGTCACCTGTGTGTGCCCCAGGGGCTGCCCTCTCTGCATGCATGCCTTCTGGTCTTCCCGACCGTTTCTTTCCATCTGCACCCTGAGTCTCGTGCACCCAGCTCCCATGGCCTGGCCAGGCTATAAGGTGGCTGAGGGCAGGGGTCTAAGGAGGCAACTTTGTGTTTTCAGGGAGTCCAGCCATAGACCCAGACTGTTCAAGCAGAGGGAAGCAATGTCTCCTAGGAGGAGGGTTAGGCCATCCCTGCAGCTGCACAACATGACGGCCCTGCTCTCATGTCCAGAGGGCCTGCAAGGTGTGCCCTGTGCCCAGCAAATGGCCTCCCGCCTGCTCCTGGCTCCCGGAGCCCCCCTTGGCCTGGCGCACAATCCATGGCCACCCTGCCTCCCACTGCCCACCCTGCCCAGGCGGCACCAGTCTCTCCTCTCGTCCACCACAGTGTTTTTCTGTGTGCAGTGGACGCCCTGAGCCAGGGGCACAGAGGAGGGTGTGTGAGTGTGTGTCTGTGTGCACTTGTCAGCACCACACCTTGGCAAGTATGGACTTTGTTCCCCCAAAGAGACCTGCAGCATTTCCTTGGGTGACTGGATTCATACCCAAAGTGTCTCATGGCTTCCCTGTTGGAGGGAAGTTTTGGGGCCAGGTCATAAAAGGGATCTTGGCTAAAGTGTTGGTCACAGGAGGACCCTTAGTCGTTTCCCTGGTCCCCAAGTGTGTTATCATAATTCCCATACCGGGCCATTGGAGTGACCGGGATCCAGCTTGTGTGGTCATGGACATGGTAGTGGGGAAATCCAGGGGAACTTGGACGCTGCCCCCTCTACAGCCCAGAGAGCAAACCACAAACAATACTGTGCCCTGGAGGTCGAGACCTGGAGGATGCGGGGATGGTGGGCCTCGCAGAGACTGGAGAGCGACAGGTCCTGAAGAGAATCTATAGCCCACCGAGGTTTAACCAAGTAGCTGCCCCACCTCCTCTTCTGCTGTGCTGGGCTTGGAATTCTGGTGACAGCAGATTAATAAGGCCTGGGTGTTGCTGCAGGCAGAGGTGGGATAGCTCTGGGAATCTGAGGTGCAGAGGGGTACGTACGGAGGGGCACCCGGCTCACCCTACCTCAGCCAGGTGTCCCGAGTCCGAGGGTCTGTCTGTGCGAAGGGCCTGCAGAGTCTGGTGCTGGAGGCTCACGGCACCCCATGTGGTTTGTACTATTCTGTGTCCAGAGAGGAAGCCCATCCAAGGTCGCATGACTGTGCCATTTTGCTGCTTTTGACCATGTTTGTGGGGAGATGGCTCAGATGGTCTGGAATTTAAAAGACCTGCGGTAACCCACGAAGATGTGTGGGAGCATGTTGTATTGGGGCCGTTGGCCCACACCGGCCCGCCGGCAGGACGGTTAAGGAATGCCGTTTCCTTCTCTGCCCACGTGTTCTCAGGCGGAGGGAAGCCTGAGTGGTTATGAGTAGGCAGGACCTCCATGGCTCTCTCATGCTCTGTCTGTCTCGAGGGACTGTCCTGGGCGGTGGGGCTTTGCTCTATGGCCCTAGAAATGTATTTCAGAAGACGCTTGCTTACCTTTGCTCACTCATGGGGTTGAAGGGTAACGTTCCCCTCCTCCACCCCAACTGCTCTCCACTTCCTCCAGGGACATGAAAATGTTACACAACCCACCATCCTGGGGCACTGGGTGGCTCAGTCAGCTAAGTGGCTGCCTTTGGCTTGGTTCAGGGCCCAGGGTCTTGGGATCGAGTACCGCATCTCTCGTGGAGCCCCGGGGACTGGCGGGGAGTCTGCTTCTCCCTCTGGCTCGGCCCCTCCCCACCGCTCGTGCCCTCTCTCAAATAAATAAATAACATCTTAAAAAAAAAAAAACCTACCACCCATGGGAAACGCATGGGAGTCAGTGTGTCACGGTGTGGGTTACCGTTGGTGATGGAGAGTGGGCTTTTATTTTTTTTTTTAAAGCCAAAGCTACTTCGTTAGTCCCAATAATCCCTCTGGATCTTGGGCAGCTGAGTGTTTTATGTAGGTCTTCTAAGTGTATGACTGCACTTGGGTGCCGGAGAACTTGTTGTCCGCATCTCCAGGGAGCCAGGACAGAGGCCGGGCAACTGGGCAGGGCCTGCAGGGGCCAAGAGCGCCAGGGGGCAGGGAGGTCCAGGGACACATGTTGGTGGAGGAGAGCTGCCCCCTCGGTGGAAAGGGGCTGAGTGCTCCCAGTGGATCTGTCCGGGCAGGGCGGTGCTCCTGAGGGGCCCTCTCTTCCTCTGACATTTGGCTTTGGGCAGGTGGTCATTTCTTGGAAAGTGAAGCCAGCCTGAGAGCAGGAGCATTCCAGTGTGGCACCTGCGAAGCTTCCCGTCCACACCTGATCCGGTCAGATTCTGCCGGTGAGAGTCTCACCCAGGACACGGGGGCTCACGGGGGAGACCAGGTGGGGGGGAAGAGCTTCTGGTCCGGGAAGGGGTTCTTTCCCCTCTGCCACCTCCAACTGATTGTAAACTACATGAAACTCATTTATAAAATGTTTCAAAATATTTATGACTTGTGGGAAGCTCCTCTTAACCAGCTGTGCTTCACTGAATGGAAAGGGTCCCCCAAGCGTCATGCACCTCATTTCCCTGCTGGCCCAGGAAGGCCACACCGACACACTCCAGGGGCTGGCCAGCCTGGGTGTGAGAACACCGCGGAGCCCTACCCCAGAGCCCTACCCCGGGGCTTCTTACCCAGGGGTCTGCTCCGGGAGGCAGGGTCACAGCGAAACCTTGCCTGCATGCATTTTCCTGGGAAGAGGCCACAGGTTTCTTCGGATCCTCAAAGGTACGTGTAGTTTCAGAAGTACTATACATTTTCGATGAACTGAGACACACCAAACACACAAAAATCATACTGTTGATGTTTCCGTGGTGATTCAGGAGGTCTGGGGTTGTCCTCCTCATGGTGACCCCCCACCACCTCCACCCTGTTATCTGTTTCTCCGTAACAGACCTTCCCTGCACTCAATGGGTTAAACAACAACCATCTTATTTGCTCATTTTTGGTGGGGTGACACTTTGGGCTGGGCTTCGCCGAGTGGTTCCCCTGAGCTCATTCAGGTGGCAGTGGTTTGCAGGAGGCTTGCAGGACGAGGGCGATCCAGGACGGCATTGCCTACAGATCTCACAGGCTGGCTATCAGTCAGGGCCTTGATGTGGCCTCTCTAGAAAGACAACTCAGCCCCACTGACGTGGGGGCCATATTACCGCAGAATAAGAGCAGAAGCTCACAGACTCTTGAGATCTGGGCTCGGGAGCGACACCATCACTTGGCCACAGTCTGTGGGTCAAAGCAAGACAG